CAAGGTAGAGACAGACACAGGTAACGAGAAACAGTATCAGACTCAAACAAATTTAAGTAAATTGAGGTTGTAAGCTCATTCATTGTTTTAATTGTTGTTAATAATGTATTAACAATTATTTCGTTTTTATTTGAATTTAGTTTAAAACACCTACCTGGAAATCACTCTTACCTGAAGCAGGATATTTTCTCCTTTGTGACTGACCACCTACAAACCTCCTACAAACCAGACCAACAAGCCCTCCTAGTATAAAGATGATGTGGTGTTGTTGCTTTGTGTTAGCACGGTTTAGTGATGACTGTACACACAGGCCTGCTGATAAGAACAGGCTTTTCATTCAAACAACAGACTTTCTTGCTATGTAAGTCTCATATGTCTTAAAGCCATAGGTGTTAGGTGTGGCCATTGCTACTTGAAAAGAAAAGGCCAGAAGAGTGAATCATGATTTATTAGATTTCAAATTTGCAGGTGAACACTTAAATCAGGCAGATACAGTTGAGAAGAGTACACTTATATTTCCACATTCATTCTTGTATAATTAGGGATAAAAAGCAGTGGCATATACAGACAAAATTTATCACTGGTACTTTATTGTTTGTAAACTTGCCAACAAAAGTGTATGAGTGAGTGACAGATGGCATCATGGTGCGTGGGGCTGCACCCACTTGTATGTTCCCTCATAGCGGAATCCCACCTTCTTCACGAGATCATCCGCTTCGTTTGGACCACGACTATGGACATGACAAAGAAACCAAAGGAGGAAGAGAAATGATCACTTAAAAAGGAAAATGTGCAACGTTTTCATTCCTGTCACAAAACAGATACCGTTTTACCTTCCATATGTGTAAGGGATAGGGTGCGTCTTCCTTCCTTCTATTTGGTTGAGGAGGGGGGTGAAGATCCTCCAGGCCTCCCGCAACTCATCACTGGGACAGAAAGAGGAGCAGTTCAAAGTCAAAATATACAGCACAAAAACAAAATACCTAGGCAATGAAGTAGGACAGTGAATGGTACAACAAACCTGCGGACAAAATGCATCTGATTTCCACAGAAGACATCCAGTATCAGCCTCTCATACGCATCTGGGAGCTTCACATGCTAGAGGAAGACGGCAACTGTAAATACCTGCTTATTATATGCTGTTACACAATATTAGACAATAATATTCAACTATTTGATTTTTAAGAAACTATCTTAAGCCTGTTTGGTGCATCTCTACACCTTTACCCTATAATACCATCGAGATTACCGTGAGACATTGAATTGCTATCAAACACTATCAAATGTCATCTCATAATCAATAGACCTTTAGGTGATATGATATATATCATTCAAATAAAGTGTGACCAAGGTATCTGAAGAATTTAGTGAAACTATCTGGACATTAAAGAGATTTGCATTGATTCAAGAACAGTCTAAAAACAAGAAACAAGCAACTTAACACACTGCTGCAGAAAAACACAATATTTTATGACTGAAAGTTGGTTGATGGACCACAATGGATTCTTTGAGTTAAGTGAGCCTGAAGCACCTTGTATCTGCTCCTGTAGGTGAGGTCCAGCTCAGTCTCCTCTGGGCTGAAGTAAACCCCAGGTCTCTTGGTCATCATCTTTAGGTAAATGGCTTCGTCCGGCTGCACCCGCACCACCAGCTCGTTCCTCTGGCAGCGGTCGCCAAAGATGTCCCCTGGCACGTCAGTGAACTGCAGACGCACTTCTGCCTTCCTCTCATTCAGAGCTTTACCACAGCGGAGGATGAAAGGAACTCCTAGTGGAAGGGGTGGTTGATGTGGTGACGGACATGAATTTGGGAAAAATAAGACAGGGAGAGAGAGTCAGGGGGAGGTCATAAAATCTCAAAAATGAAGACAAATGAGGGAAAAATCTTTTGCCTGACCATCCCATCTTTCATTGTGGACATAGAGCACTGCGGTGGCAAATGTTGGCGTGCAGGAGCCTTCTGGTACGGTGGGGTCATCAAGGTAACCCAGCTTGGACTGGCCCTCCCCCTCAGGGTCCCCCACGTACTGGCCGAGCACCACATCTGACACAGGAACAGGTGCTATACACTTCAACACCTTCACCTACAGCGCAGCAATAATCACAGGACAACAGTTGCAATGATGGTCTGGAATTATAGACAAAACATGAACAAACGTCCTACTAATTCCAACCATCCAACCGTTGGTCTTACCTTCTCATTCCTCACGTCATCTGGGCTGGTGGAAGCAGGTTTCTCCATGGCGACCAAACAAAGCATCTGGAGGAGATGGTTCTGCATGACATCTCTACATCAAGAAACATGAACTGCAATCAGGGAAAGTAAAAGGCTCTAGTGTAACAATAACAATGTATTCGGTATTTTCCCTTTTATCTGAATGTACCGTCTCTCACCGAATGATACCAAAGTCATCAAAGTATCCTCCACGACCCTGAGTGCCAAAAGGCTCCTTGAAGGTGAGGACCACGCAGGCCACACTGTTCCTGTTCCATATGGGTCCAAAGATGCGATTTCCAAACCTGCAAGTGAGGGAATACAAACACTGCCAAAATAAAACCCTGAGTACCTCCGACACAGGAAGGAAGAGATGAAAGATGTTTAGGTTTATAACAGTGATCAAGTGCTTGGAAATGTGCGTATGGAGCTTGTTACCTGAGCACCATGAGGTTCTGGACCATCTCCTTGCCCAGGTAGTGGTCTATGCGGTAGACTTGGTCCTCTGTGAACAGGGAGGACAGGTGGGCTGACAGCTCCTGTGAGCTCTGGAGGTCACGGCCAAAGGGCTTCTCAACAATTACCCTGCTCCAGCCTCTGCTTTACACACATAGCTGATAAGAATAATGCGATCAAATAGCAGGTCAACCATTTGTTTTGTGTGTGTAACAACTACTGACTTGACACTCATGCAGTGGGTTCTGATGTTTGTGCTGACGTGGTGGTAGACGGTGGGGGGCAGAGCCAGGTAGAAGAGTCTATGGGCATCGGCTCCCCCAGGCAGAGACGACAGGTGAGCGCTGAGTTGGGCGAAAGAGTGGCCATCATCATAACTGCCTCTAAAGTAGGAGTTCTTACTGAAGAAGGCTGAGAGACACTCACTCTCTTCATCAGTGACCTGAGGGAAATGTTGAACAATTATTACTGAAAAAACACACCCCAAAAACAATCATCAACCTCGTCTCAGATGGCTGATAAGAAGCCTTAGCTAGACTACCTTCATATGAGGCAGACATGCTGTCTTGATATCCTCCACTTTCAGGTTAGACCGGGCAAAACCCACAAAGTATGTGTCATTCGGGAGCAGGCCATCTCTGAATAACCACCTAAAGAATGGACAGAGACAGTCAAACGCAGTGATGCAGAGCACCGGCCAAGGGTCAAACTCCTCAAAATACAAAGTAACCGGTCAACTTTTAAAGCAACTTCGTCTGAGATTTGTGCTTGAGCAGCGATTTTTTACTCACCACAAAGTTGGATAGATCTTCTTTTTAGCGAGATCCCCCTACAAAACAAATAAGGAAGAAATCTGATCATGAACCTCTACGGAAAATCAGTGGCTGAAAAGAATCAAACAAGAGCCCAAAGTGAAGGCAGACTTTAAAAATAGGCAGTAGAGTTGTGGAGTGAGTGGATCTGTTGAGTAATGTGAGAACTCTGATCACACCCTCTTTGCAGGACTCGTGTAACATTTAAATAGATTACAGGCATCGACAAATAAAGAGAAAACAAACAAGGACGACAGATAAAAACAACTAGATTTTGGAAGTTGAGCCAGGCTCAAGGCCAAGAGCAGTCTGACAAAATGGTTTTGCTCTTTCAATGCTTTACAAAGGAAAAAGTAGATGCAGCACATTACAGTCCAAATGTGCTCATTTCCCGGCTTTCATTCTCTGATTACCACACCACTTTTTCACTGCTTGTCGTTTAATGCAGATAGAAATCTAGATGGATCAAGTGACCTCACCAAATAAGACAGTTTGTAAACATTTGACAGGGTACCTTTTAACATCTCAGACTGAACATTTCTACAGATCTTTGTTGAATTGCGTTAAAAGGAAATAGCAGTTGTAATTTTAGAATAGAGGAAACAGCGGTTATTCATGACATGTTGTAAGACATGCAGAGGTTGTACTCACAGAGGCTCCCAGGATGATGAATATGTGTGTGTTGGAGTGACTGGACTGCTCCTCTCCATAGAGCTCCCTCCTAAGCTGTCCAAACACCTCAGAGCGAGTCAAAGGCTCAGTGCTCATCTTCTGGTCCATCTGGTCATAGTCTGTCCCTGCTGTGGCTACTCATTACCCAATGGCTACATGAATGACACTGTATGGTGGAATTTCAATTGTCACCCTTGCCTTGCAGAAAAGTTCAGTGAGTTAATACTGCCCCCTATTGTTGCAGGTGGCGTTATTGCATACGAGCCCCTGCATTCCAGCAGTTTGGGTGTGTATTGCACGACTTCACACAAAATGAAATCTATAAAGAATCAGATCAGGTTTGGCAGCCTGGAGGAAATCCTTCCCATTCACTATAACTCACATTTCAGGTCTTTTTAGAAACGGCTGAGAACAATTGGAATGTTCCTCCTACACCACTCCTTAGACAAACGTTGCGCAAACATTAATAAGTGCCTCTGACTGAGAAGGGCTTATGACTTTGCAGAAAGAGTTCTTATCAGTACATACTGTAATCTCTAGTGTTGTAATTTTAACAGGAGAAAAAGTTTGACTGCAATTCTATGCAGGCAACTTTTAAATCCAAATGATTTAATCTCTGTACATCAGTAACCCACAGCCTAGAGTCTGATTTAATCATTCTTTAAGGATACTATACTATATTATATACTTTAAATCAATACCAACCACTACATGGGAAAAAAAAAAAAAAAAAAAACTATAATCAAAGAGATCAAAACTGTTGGTTAAAACTTAAATATATTTCCCTTGCTTCAGCAAAAACTTTTCTAGATACATGCTGATAAAGAAATTCTATAATACAAATGATCATTTGTGACACAACAAAGTAGATTTTTTATTTAAAAAACAGGCATCTCTCTTTAGTAAGACTTGTGCATATTCTCACATTTCAACATTTAGTCAGACAAAAAAAACAATCACTTTCTAATCTGGACTGTAAATTCACTGAATAAAGATCACTGCAGCTGACAGCCATTGCCCCACGATCAGGCTGCCACTCCTGAATGTGCACAAGTCCACGTACTCACTGTTTGATAACCTTCAACCATCTACAAAGTCTTTCCTGAGCTACCATCATAAATATATATATTTTTTTTAAAACAGGTGGGAGGCTAACCCAAGCCTCTTCAACAGACTGACTGTCTTTACTTTTTCCTCCATCTTTAACTGTCCACTTAGTATGGCCAAATGCCCCAAGCTCCACAGCATGAAGTCATTCTGGTTCAATGTTGAGTTGGTTCCTTGGAGCGGATTCTGAGGAAGGAGGACACAAGGTGCCTGAGGTCACCTGATGGCCAGACAGGGAGGTCAGCTGAAGGACCAGTGCTGAAAGAGGTCAGCGGAATTACAGTGGTTCATCTGAATCTGGCCTGCGTTCAGATGTAAGCATTGCCCACTACTGGGATTCTTCAGAAGGTTTTCCTGGAGAGTAGAATCAGAGAAAAGGTGAATCAATACAGAGGCCTAAATAAATATCAATACACAAGACATGGAGTCTCGTTTATAAAACTGTTCATAGGAAAGACTACTAAAGGTTGCGTAAGGTCAAAACACAGGAAGTAAAATATTCTGATTTACAAAACAGTCCTACGCCAATTTCCCTTTATAAATCACATTTAACTTGAAATGTGGCACATGTAAGCAAACCCCTTGTCTGACCTTATAAATGTCCATAGTTGCAAATGGTCAGTGAAACACCCCTCAATATTAATATGTACTGACTGCATGAAGAGAAGGATGGCAAATTCTGACAGACATCTAAAAAAAGAAATTTAACCCAGTGTGACACTGATGTTCTTTAGAGGTTGAAGCAAGAAAAATTATGTTGTTTGGACACGCAATGCTTGTACCCAGGAGGAAAGGGGGCACCGGAGCTCAAACCCATTGATGACCGATGCAGGAAAGCATATCCCTAGTGACGGTAGTGGATGAGGACACATATATGCAAGAAGAACTGGATCACCTAGGTACATAATTTGGATCCCTTTGTTTGAAAAGACAGTAAACCAAGTGCATTACACTTGTGTTTAAACATTGATTTAGGCTGCACAAACAAACACTTAATGAGGCTGCCGATGAGTTAAAAGAAATATGACTTGTTTTATGTGACATAAGCGGTACACTGAAAGATTTACTTAACGGAGGAGTATTATATTATTCCATATTGTACGAGAGTTAAACAAGATCAATAGCAGCTGGTTTACTTACTAAGCTCACCATTTCCCTCATTTCCAGTGTTTATGACAAGCTAACATATCCAGCAGCTAGCTGTATCCTTTTATTTAGCAGACATATGATATCAATTTTCTCATCTAACATTCAGCAAGAAAGCGAATAAACGTATGTCGAACAGTCCGGCCCCAAGTGCTTCTCACCTCTGTAAAGACCCACTCCTGTTGTGGTGCTAAACTGGTTCCCTTCCCCTTCAGTTGGCATAGCTCGATCTTCACCGGCTCTGGCTGAGGCATGGCATGAAGACACAGCTGCTTTCCAATGTTATGACGCAGCTCCTTATGAGTGGTGTATTCAAAGTACTAGAAAAGACAATCAGCCAGTCAGAGACCTAATTGCCCCAGAGAACAACAAATTATCTTCAATTCATAATTTCACATAATGTGTGAGTCAGTCATTGTACCTGGTTGCCTCCCATATTGTGACACTGATACATGATCACAGGTTTACCTCCCTGGTTGCTCTCTCCAGCATCCAGACAGGTTTGAGATCCTAAGTTTTTAATCTGGTGCAAGCACAGACACAAAATAACAGTAAGATACAGCTGCAATTATACAACACGCGCGGTGTGTTATATCCAACTGTATGCAAATACAGAAGGACAAAGAGAAACATGACTCACTGCTCCAAACTTTTGTGGGGTTAAGTCCGGAATGAAGACCTCTGGGTAGACTGTGTTTAAGTACCAGGTGAAGTTCTTACACTTAAGGTTTTCTCTCAGCTTCAGACGATCAGAGATGTCCCCATACATATGCTATAACAGTGAAGGGGGCATATTTAAAACTCAAACAATTCAAAACAATTATTTACAGTTACATCATCATATTAACCTGCTGCAGCAGGAGGTATAAATTCTAGTTAAACAATTGTGGAAGATATTATATTCATGTGCATTTAACATTTTAACACAGTTGCTCCTATCAGCAGGTCACACTGACCTCACTGGCCATAACGGCAGCATTCTTGTTGCGGCGATAGAAGATCTTTTTGTAGTCATCCATCCAGACCTCAGCCAGGCGCACCTGGTTGCGAGTGATGACCTCTGTGCCCTTGGGGAAGGTGTGAGGACTCTTAGTGCGGAAGACATGGCCCACCACAGAACAAGGGATGATCTCTAGCTGACCCCCACACTGCCACACCTGTGAATCACATTTGACACAGGTAGAAATCAGACCCTAACTTGATAATGACAGGAGGGAGACATATGTGGAACTGTGGCAGTACAGGTAAAGAGACTGACCCTGAATGACATCTCCACATTTTCTCCGCCCCAGATTTCCATCTTGTCATCGTATGTTCCAATGTGTTCAAAGTACTTCTTTGAGATTGAGAAGAGACCTCCGGCAAAAGTAGGTGTTCTGAAATTTCCATAGACAGATACAAAAGCTTTAGACACTTAAATGATTGAAGCTCCAAGTGAAACCAACACGATCCTTCTTACTTTACAGGGTAGGTTTCATCCTTGCGCAGCTTCTTCGCATCCTCAGGGATTGCCTCCCAGCCGAAAGTCAGGCTCCAGTCAAAGTTACCTCGATTAAAAGCGCGGCTAGTGGCAACAGGCTTGTTGAACTTAAAGGTGTTGAGGTCAATGGTGGTGATCTCTGGACTGACTACGGCAGTGGGTTCCTCAACAATCCGGGCCAACAGGGGCTCTAGCCAACCATGGAAACACTCGCCTAGACAGGGTAGGAAGGACAGAGATCACTTTATAGCTACTTCTGAACCTAAATCGCATTAAATATGTACTGCCACCAATCAGTTCCAGGTGTAGAGAGTTATGATGGGGAAAGCATGGCCTCATGAACATGTTGGTATTACATTAAGCAGACGCATGTGTCCCAAGTGACAAGTGTAAATTTTTTACAATGATGTACGTCGTCACCAAAATCATAATGTATGTCCATGTTAGCAGAACTGTTCTAGAGAGATAGATATAACGCCATCTGACTATCTAAGCATTCAGGGAAAGAAAAACTAAGGTTAAAAAAGTAACTCAAGAAAAAGAGAGCATAATTGGACATAATAATTTCCAGTGACGGACGCTGATGGCAGGTGGCTTAAGACCGACAGTAATTGTCAGGCTATATAATTATTTTAATTATTTATTTTAAATAGCCGCACAGTTGGACCAGTCACAATAATCATTTTTGCTCTCTCTTTAAATAATAATTAGAAATACTATGGTATAGACCTGATTTATATGAAAAGTGCCCTGAAATAACTTGTGTTATGATTTTCCATCATATAAATAAAACTGAATTGAAGTATATTAACTAGTACACAAGTATTTTCTAAAAAATACTTGAGTAGCAAGTAACTTAATAATACAAAACACCGGTACACTACAGTCATGTGGAGGCACGGCTGCGGCGGTAGGATAACCGAGTGCGTGCAGACCTGGGACCAGCTGACCACCTTCCATTTAACAAAATGCATAAAATACAAGTACCGTTATGAATCAGTCCAAATGTAACAGAGTAAAAGTAACAATATTCTCATAAAATATCTACAAGTTAACACCGTCAAGTATGATTTACTCTATAAAGTGCCTTAAGTACATATAACAGAGTAAATGTAACTCGTTACTACCCACCTCTGCTCTCTAATCACAGGTACATTTTCTGACCAAACAGAGAGGTTTGTTTCAAACATGATGTAATTAAGCACTCTGCTTCCAACACATTGTGGCTGTCTTGATAATTTGTGTGTCTACTGAAGGTTTTCCTTATAGATTTATTAAATACTACCTGGAAGTGAAGTTCTAAATTGTCCCAAATCATGGCTAAATCATGGCTAGATGGACCTTAATAAAAAAAATAAAAGGGCCATAATACGTTGCAAACTATTTTGAGAACTAAAGGAAATATGAGATGCTCTACATTTTTACTAAGGATGGAAAACAATGCATTAACCTGCAACTCTGGCAGTGCTAGTGTCTGAATGAGCTATACACAGCTTCTCAAAATGGCCATTGTGGCTTGTGTATTGTTGTGGTTATGCGTTTTCTCACAGTGTGCGTCGAGAAAGGTTAGCACTTCGCCTTGAGCAATACTGGCACCCAGCAGCCTGGCAGTGATTAGGCCCTTTCTCTCCTGCTGCCTCACTACGCGAACAATCTTCAACTGTTGCACAAAGACCTCCAGTTGGTTCTTCAGGTGATCTAAAGGAATAAAAAAAAAAACCCCAACACATTATCATATCTGTCTATTCTTTGTTCAAAACAAGAGTTGTCAAACTGAAAATGTTGTATTAGGTGAACTCCAGTGGTTGAAGCTCACTTGCTGCTGTTATATCAGAGTGTGTTCAGGTTACACTGACCCTGTGCTTACAACAGAACACACTTTGAACCACACCCATTAATGATGCTGGGTGTGGTCAGAGGTGACAGATTTCAAACTTACAACCAGAAGTGATGAGTGAAAGTAAAACTTTCAGCCTGATATTCAATAAAGCGTCTCATTGCTTCAGAGAAGAAAAGTCTATCGTCATATTAATTGTGAGAGCATTGTGAGAGCAATGAAGTGGAACAGCTGCTGATAAAACTAGGCCACACTTCCCTTTTAAGATCATTTATTTCCACAATGCATGCCTCATATTTCACTTAAGTTTCAGTCTAAGTGACCTGCTTTACACAGCAGGGATAGTCAGGCTAGTGTCAACTGTTATGGAGTGTGTATTTAAGGTGTTAAAACAACTGAAAAACAGAATTGATAAATTATCATGAAGACATTAGGAGGCATTGCGCACTGTTATATTCTTTTAGTGCTAAAACTGAAATTATGTGACACCTAAAATATTAGATGGCAGCACAGTTGCTGTTTGAAATACTACAGTAAACTAGATCTGAATTTTAGATTAAATTTTATAGTGAATGCACACAATATGTACAGAGTATATGTACAGAGTGTAGCTTTTCTAAATGTAAATTGAACACGCAATTTTGACAGAACACAAAAGGTGAAACTCAGAAGTGCAGTGACCGCTGCTGAATGAATGAGCGCCGCTACTAAAATTTCACAAAATTAATATCATCAAATATTTTCACTCGCACACAGTGTGAGCAAGGTCACACTGAACGCTTAGCTAGCTTTTTCCCCTCATTCTTCAAAGGACATCTACGTGACATGTGCTGTCATAAGAGCAGCGAAAGTTAGTCCTTTAAAAGAACAGTGCATAACGTGTGTGTAGCAAGTGTATGGCTGAATGCTTGTGGTGCAGAGGAATGGATGGTAATCACCCAGGAGCAAGGGATGCAAACTAGTCCCTTTAAGATAATGAGGAGACGTTTCTTTTGGATTTTAGTGTACACGTACATTTTATAATTTTACTATCGCATCGCAGCCCTCTGAATCGTAATCAAATTGAATCATGAGGTGCCTAGAGATTCCAACGCCTAAAATTTAAAGATAAACTAAAACAGAGAACAAACAGTAAACCAATGGAGTAGGGTTAGCAGGTGTATAAAGCTGTAAATAGTACTTACTTTACTCACCTAAAAATCAAGAATGTTAACAATTTACTGTATTATAATAAACATTCTTAGACAACTCATATAATATTGCACAGCAACAACATAACTGACATTTCCCAAAAACTGTTGTGAAGTCACTTAACATTTGTAACTATTTATCATGCAAAACATATGTCACAGCTGCACTCACATGTCAAAGGCTCCTTATAGCATAACTTGTCATTTTCGATAATTCTCACTAGAGTCAAGTCGGTGCCCACCAGCATAATCTGTATTTCACTGGAGCCCAGTAGCCCATAGTCAAGTAGAAAAGGGGCATTCTCATTTATGTCACTGTCGTCTCCCTGCATCTCACACTCAGTTTGCACACAGTAACCTGCCTGTTACTGTGTGGAAGCTGCTAAAAAGCTATCATCATCATCATCCTGCATTATCTTATCAAAGCTCACAGCGACTGGAATGCTGCCCTTAATACACTGAGGGTAAATTTAATTAATAAATTACTTATAAATTTACACTTCATGGTTTTTTCTGTTTTTGTTGAAGACATAACACACCAGAGCTTCCTGGTGATGAAAATAAAGTTAAAATTATACATTAACTGAAATATTATGACTCCATTATCTGTGGCAGATAAAAAGCATTACTGTCGTGCGTTTCCTTTTCTGTAGTTTAGCACTGCCAGTTCTCTACCTACTCTGTTTTTGTATGAAATATTACATCCGCTTCCAAGCACTCAACAGGTTAGCGGAAATGCTGCGTTAACAAATATGTTCCTCACTTACTGCCTGATTAAGAGCAGAAATAAGATTGCATTAAGTGATAAAACTGAACTCTCTAAGCCCTGCTCCCTGTCACCCAGCTCTTAAACAAGGTCATTTAGATACCATGTTCCCATCAGTGCGTCTTTGAGTATGTTTTGTCATTAGCGTGTGTTTATATTTTTCACACCTGCAACACTGGCGTCATCTACCAAGATGATCTCTTTGAGCAGGATAGCAGGAGATGTGTGCAGGACGCTGTACACTGTCCTGAGCAGGGTGGACCAAGCTTCATTGTGGAAGACAATAATAACGCTGGTTGTAGGCAGAGGAGGACAGCGGCGAAACTTCCTCTCCACACACCTGAGTGAGGTGAGCCATGTCAAAACACAGAGAGAGTGACAAAAAGGCAAAGAAGGCGTGCAAGTGAGAGGCATACCTGATGAAATGAAAGTCACAGGAGGTTTTGCAGTGCCACGTATAACAAACCATTGTTTGCATGTATTCAAGGCAGTACCACTTTAAATAGCACAATGTGCAAACAGCCATAAACGATCAGCTCATAAAAAGGCACTTGACAGCTCTGCCGAGCAAACGTTCAAGGCCTATCAAGCCTGCGACATGTTCAGATGTCAAGTTGGACAAACATTTACAGTGAGTGATAGTATTTTCAACAACGCAGCCTCAGTCTCAATTATCCAGGATACTGGCATGTGCATGCTGCTATGCTATTCTCAATTATTGTGATTACATTTAGGTTAGTCTTTTAACTAATCAATTTTCCAGAATAATGGAGAGAGAAGGCAATATGAAAATGCATGTATATAATTTACTAAGATGACCTCAGCCATGTACATGTCAGCACACTTGTTGGTAAAACAGTGATTTGTCCAAGATTCAGATTTTTACTTACTCTGGAGGCCTTGTGTCATCCCCAAGACTACGGCTGAGGGAGATGCGGTCACTGGCAAACTGGTTGAAACAATGCCGGGTCATACCCTCCTCCTTCTCCTTCTCCTCCTCAGGGGTCATGTGGTCTTTTACAAATGCTTTCCCATCAGCCCCGAGGTTTGTGGGGTCCTGAGGTGGTCTCTCAACGTGAGGTTTGAGCTCAGCCTGAGTGTAGAATCCAGCGGGGCAGATGGCATCCTGGGTGGGCTTTTCTTGTACTGGTGGTGGCTGCGGAGCCCCAATCTGGAAGCCGATGTTGTTGACAGCCCCTCGGACAATGTCCAACACCTTGTCCCTCTTGTCCACTAGATCTTGAAACCAGGGGTCACCAGCTGGCGAAGAGCCAACATCCCTCTGGAGAACCACCAGGGCCACCATGAAGAGAGTCCCCCCAAAGAGCACCAGTTTCACAGGGGATATACGTCGGCGTAGGAACAGACGCATGTTTCAATGTGGGTGTTGTTCCCAAGGCTGTAAAAAACAGAAAAAAAAAAAAAAAAAAACTAATTCCCTGGAAGCTTTCTGCAAAATGTTTGCGCATGTTATGCAAGGGGTTTTGCCAATGGTCTGAAAAATACTTTATTCAAAACCCACTCCTCTGTAACGCTTACCTGCCTATACCCGCTAAACATTCACTGAGTTTTTCCTACAGTAGAAAAGACAAGCAAGAGAAAATCCCTTAAACCGGTTTCTGCAAGTGTCATAGCAGCAGGTTATCAAGCCAACCTCACTCCTCCCTCCCTCCCTGTCTGTCTGTTTAGGAAACAATCCCACAGGACGGGTGGAGAGAACAGGGAGGTGGAGATTGCGAACAAACACACCACACCTCTCAGTAAACACCTGAATTCACCTGCCCACAGTCCTCTAGGACCCACACAGCAGCACGAGGGCTGTGACGCTACTGGCTCACACACCGGTTAATGAGTGACACAATGCCTTCCATGGACACCTGCTCCAAACACACCCAACCAGTGATGATCAACAGTCATCTGCTACAGGAAGTAAGAGTTTGCTACGTGGAGCATGACAGCACCTTAACTTCACCAACGCCTGTAACAAAAAGAGGCTGTTTCCTGCCCATGTGACACAGGATATCATGGCAAAGTAGGACATCTGTGAGTCCTTAGGTGATCACTGTTCAGTTTGAGACTCACTCTTACTTGGTCATAATTAATTTACTCTATTCTCAAGCCAGGCTCCTTCATAATTGATTCAAGAGGACACTCTGTTGGTGTTCCAGAAAAGGGAAACGAACACAGTCCACTTTGCATTTTTGTCTCTGATGAGCAGTTATTCCAGTTGGTTGTCACCACAGTTACGATAAAGGAGGAAGAGGAAGGGAAATTAGTAGACCTGACAACATAAAAAAACAAAACAACAAAAAAAACCCACGGTCAATATTATATGGGCCTATAGATCTGTTTTGACTCCCCAAATAATATAATCTCTAATCAGGCCAGCTTGGAATAAACAAGTAAAACATAATTTTACATACTGAACATATTTTTACAATACTTGGACCATAAGCAGACTTCTGAGTTCTGTCAAAACTCTCAGCAGCTACACGTTGCGCTGAGGCGAAATGAAAGAGGAAGAGTTGGCTGCTTTCATTCAGAATATGTATAACTCTCTAAACAACAAGTATGGAAGACGTCTAGAAATCACATTTTTGACGAAAAAATAACACCTTCCGATCAAGCTCACAAACTACACCGAGAAGTTACTGAAAGATGATTATTAAAGGGTTTCTACCTCTCTGAAACGCCGCTGCTTACCTCAAATTGACGAGCACTTGTTCCGGTTGATCTGATATTTCTTTACTTGTGTGGAAAGTTGCCAAATGAGCACGTCGCGGTCGTTGCAGCGTCTTGAAGTCGGCAGACTGGAGTTTTGAGTGAACAAGGATACAACAGTTCCGCGGCCTCCCGGCTTTTTTTCCTTTGAACCGAACAGGTGCCATTTGTTGAAATGATTAGCTGGAGTGAGTCCCCTGCTGGCCGCGCGCTTGTCTCTCCGTGCAGCACGTTAAAGGTGGCTTTCGTTGACAGCAGATCACGAGTCACCGCACTGAAATGTGATACAATCTGTACCAAAAATGCGGAAAATCAAAAACAATAAAAACCTACACAACAAAGAAATATACAATTGAAAAACAACAACAACAAACAAACCGATTAAACATTTGATACCCCATAATAAATATCACTAGAATTTAAAATGTCAACTTTTGTACCACCATTACTGTATCACCATTAGGCTACTAGAGATAATATATATTATATAATATTTAAAAACAGTGCAACAAAAACAAACAACTAGTAGGCCTATACTAAGTGCCCTTATCATGAGCCTGTTATAGTAACAGTGCTTTTTCATCAGGGATTAGGGGGAATTTATGTCGCTTAATTAATGCTCAGCATAGAGTGCTGTAAGTGAACATTGCCATTACCTCAACAGAAATTCATTATTCATGTGCAAGCAATTAAATACTCTCTCCTGTATCGCCCTCTTGAAACTGTAGACTGATTTATTCAGAAAAGGAGAAGGAGGCGTCTCTCAGGTTACTGTCCCAGGGAGAAATCTTGATTGCAGGCTGCTGATTGACGTGAGAGCTAAATTAAAAGCAAACAAAATAGAGCGCCTCAAAGCACGCTAAAGCTGTGCTGTGAAATAAACTGTTGGGGGGAAGTCGATTTTTGTGAAAGGAAGAATAAATTGTTCTTGATTTTTGGGCAGAAGTGTTTGTGACATTTTCTAAGACGGCAATAATCACAAATATGTTTTAATTTTATACTATTTATTCCTCTCAACACAGCTTTATCAAGAACAAATTGAAGGTAGGTCTTGCCCTACTTTTCTTTTGTAAGATTAATTTTCCTATCACCTCTACTGTAGAGATATGAGAGCATCAACAGGAATAATAAACCAAATAAACACAATCAATGCATAAACAGACATTTATTAATTTCTTATCCAAGGGGGAAATTAATCAAATCAATCATTGCACTATTTCTTAAACTCTGCCACTTTCTACAGGAAAATGCAACAGCATTTGTTTGAACTTTCATTCTAAGGAGAGAGAGGGAGAAGCAAATGTGAACATCTTTTTTATAGCCTATGAAGGCAGCTTTTTTTTAGGCTCACACAAAACCATGAGCATATCAACACCAGCTGTAAAGCTGTCTAAATGTAAAACATACCTTCAGTCTAGTCAATTTGGCCTCTAGAACAATGATTAGGCTCCTTCCACAGTACCAATGGCAATGTAAAGAGTGGTTTTCTTCAGTAGTAGTTTCAATGTGGACAAAAATATTTATTATTACATACATTCATATGATGTTGTTCAGACTATTAATTTTGGGGGTGTTTCAAGTCTATATGTGCCAAAAAACAACCAGATGCACACCCTGGAATTGCATAATCTCAATGCAATACTTAGGAGAATTCCTGTATACAATTAATCCTGAAGCTATAAGGACCAGTTTCAGTTCACATGTTGCAACACAATCCAAACTATACGTTTCATGGGCTTTTGCTCAGGTTGGAATGAAGTCAGTCAAAGTTACAGTCCGGTAAAAGGCGCTGTAGACATAATTCTCTTCAAATGATCATTTTGACACAGGAAATAAGGATTGGGCACACAACGAGAATAATATAAAACATGCCTTGCAGCAACCAGTTTGGCAAGAAAGCATTGTCATACAGTATCATAAAAACCTCACAGTGAAAAGTTACAGTATGCCCCTTTATAGATAAAGATCAGCATTCAGCTAATGTGCTCACACACACACACCCAAACACCCATACATACGGTACTCACACACACTTATATAAAATGTTTCATAACAGTTTAACAATCTCTCTTCAGTACCGTGATACTAATGCAACCGCTCTTCCTTCTTTTCGTACTTGGCTTGAACCAAAAATACATTGCAGGGAGCAAGTAATCAATCGTACATTTCAGTGAACCACAAGCAGCCTTGTGCCCAGACTATGGCTAATCACAGGCTGGAAGAAACAAAGAAGGCCCTGATACACACACAAGACCAAGCCAAGGTTATTGTGTTTTATATCTATCTGTGTGTGTGTGTGTGTGTGTTGTCCTTCATGAGTCAACAACAAGTCCACAACAAAGAAGTGTTTGTCGCTATCAACGACAGTGACGTTACCGTGGCCTTTGCTGTCAAAAGAATAATAAATTACTTAAGGTTACTTTGCTTTTGAACAGATTAGTGTGTATTTCATATTAAACATTTGATCTTTGGTCATTTTCATCCTTCATGTTGTCCTTGCATATTTTCTTTTAAGTAATATAGGTTTTTTTTTGATTATATATATATATTTTTATTTAATTTTGTCTTTTTTGTACAAGGTCATCACAAAAATCCATCTGCAGAAAAATAAATAACGACTCCAGATGAAATACTATTGCTTATAAACACAAGCATAGCCACTTCCGTTCTAAGGCAACTGGGCTTTGTGATCTCTCGAGCAGCTTGGGAAAAAGCCGTCAGACATGAACAGCATACAACATGTGTGTATCTGAGTCCGTGACAACATACAGACAGGCCGAGCTTGTCTCTGTTAGCCGTCTCCTGTCCCCCCGGTGTGTTCGCACCGTACTTCGGTGCTCATCGCTGAGCTAGCCCTCTGCATTCTCTGTCTTGTCAGTGCAGCAGGAGTCACGCTGTGGTTGGCCTCTCTGTTGTTAACTGCCCGGGGGACCGCTAGTGAGGAAGTAAGTGGTCATCTCCCCCTTCCCTTTCACCTTGACGACACCTCGACAGTCCAGCTGGTATCTGTTGTTGACCAGCACGTGGTACAGGTCAGTGGTCACCTAAGAGAGGGCGCGGACATTTGACACCAAAGATGTGAGACACTCAATCCTTCTCCAAGAGAAACGCTGTCAGTCCCAGTTTCACACTGAATAATCTTCCTAATGTGACTGTGATCAAGGTATAACATGTTTAAAAAGTAGCGCATTTTGTATAAAACGTCGAGCAAAATAGATCTACTTATGTATTAGAGCTCAAACAAACAGTCAGTGTTGAGAAAAATAATCCACACCCATTTTGACAATCAAATTTAAGTCATTTATCAAGCACACAGTAAATGCCACATATTCACTAGTTACTCAAAGGTGGGGACTTTTTCCCTCTATTTTATCATATAAACTAACTTTTTTGGAGTGTTTGGAATAGACTTTCTAGCGTCTCAGATGTGAAGATTAGCTGCTTCTAAATTGGATATAGTTGGGTTTCAGTTAGTTGACTAATACAAAACATCTGATGGGCATTTTATTCAGTTTTACTAACATTTCTGAGGCTAAATTAATCAATCAAAATATAACAAGTTGGAAAGTTGCAGCCCTGCTGTTTCTACCATGTGTATCTTAGAAGGCATTTTAACTTGCAGTAACTCACAGTGTACAACAGATGGAAGCATTGTTCTGACTGTAATCTTTCTAGCAACCAATTTATGTATTTGATTTAAGGGCAAAAAATGTCACTACAGCTGTTAGCTAGGTTGGTGTTTTTTTTCACGTTTCAAAATTAGCTTTTACATCAACTATATATCCATGAATGAGATGATAAATAAGACTTTGGATATCTTGTCCTTAATCTTGTCCATTACTGACATAACTGACTGACTGCTTCTCTGGGGAACATGCAACGACTGTGGTCTCTCTCTTGAAGATGAAAATAATGCAGGTAATTCAAATTTAGCTTTATGCTGTCCTCCAGAGGGACATTAGAGTGCTATTTCTGCTAGAGAACAGCATGGGCACAGCTCAAGGGCACTTCTGCAGAGCAGATGTCTGAACCTAAATCCTGAAGGACTGTGCACTGATTATATCTATAGAATTGGTATCTGTATGACTTTCATACAGAGCATAGGCGAATGACTTTGTCTCTTTCAGATACCACAAACAATGCTTTCAAATGTACATGCCTTGGAGTGATAATTATCTCTCAGTTTGGGGAAAGACGTTTTTTACAGTGCAGAAGATTATAAAAGTGCAGAACTGATGCAAGATTTTGTGGTGAAAAAAGTAACCGACGCACACTTTCATATTAGAATAACTACTGAGACAGCATTATGACTAGTTTCTAAGTAACTGGACTGGTATTTTGGGTTGGCTGATTCACTTACCAATAACTAAAACTGCAAAATGCTTCTTGTGAACGTAAATTTACATACTGCTGAGGAAGTACTGAGAGGAGTTGTGTAGAATTACCTGGATGCAGTCTGGTACTCCTGTGCTGTCCATCCGGCTGGCCACATTGACTGTGTTCCCCCAGATATCATATTGGGGTTTCCTGGCTCCAATCACCCCTGCTACCACTGGCCCCATGTTCAACCCTGAAAAGAAAGCACCTGGCTGTGTTACATCATACTAGTTACACCACACTGACTCAAATATAATGCTGCTTGTAAGGAAGTAGATTACTGTAGTACTTTGACCGGGAAAATGATTTTTTAAACAAATGCCAACTGGCAGATTTATCAGATAATGTTTCAAAAAACAATCTCCACTACCTCCCAGGCTTACCTATCTTCATCTGGAAGTTGTTGAAGGAGTGCTCATTGATGTATTTCATCTGCTCCCTAAGCCTCATGGCATAGTCGGCCAGAGCCAAGATGTGAGAACGGCCCTCTCTGTCGTAAGTAGAGTCATTCAGACCAGAGGCTGCCATGTAGGTGGAGCCGATGGTCTTGATTTTCTCCAGCTGACGAAACCTGTCCTCACTGATGATCTAGAGAAGAGTAATCAACAGTGGATAAGAAGAGGAGATGAGACAAACAAATGCTGCACTTCAGCTTTAGGTCAACAGCTTGCTAAAGGGCAGAACAACAAAGACAGTGTGGAGAAGGTGATTGTAGGAAGCATGAAAAAACCCCATCATACCTTATCCTAGTCATTTCTAAAATAATTTGCATTCATCATCTTCTTATATGTATTTTCCATCTCTTC